GGAACCGGTGGGCGGTTAGAAAATTTTACTACTAACAGAGATACAAAAGTGGGTGGTAGGTATAAAAAGATTGACTACCCCTGGGATAGCCAATTGTCTGAAACGGTATAGGGTCTCCTGCTTGAGCATTGGAAGATGAGACCTTCAAGATCCCTTCCGGCTCTATTCTATTCTGATTGATTGATTGATTGATTGATTGATTAGTTGGGTTTAAGGCCTACAGGGATGTCAGAATAATTATGATAATCCGGAGCTGTCAGAACTAACAATGGTCTCTCTGCTCCCTCTTCTAATGGTCTTACCCAGACTCCCAAATTACATGGCAAAATGGAGCTGAGAATTATAGCTAGATGTAAGGCCACCAGGAAATTATATACAACATACTTGAAGAAATAACAAGTTGTAAAATCGGTCTTCACTCTACTCAGTTGATATGCTTATAACTTTCCAACTCTCCAATTCATGAACCATACGCATAGCTGCACATCCAATTCTCCCCGAGGAGCCTCTATTAAGAGCCCAGTTAGTTTGAAATATATATATATATATCTTTGTTCCTTAGGTCAATGGGAGGGAGATAGTGCTGGTGATGATAAATTATAGATATACCAATCCAAAAATTGTTACTGGACCTTGAAATTATGCAAACAGTTTTTGAATAGTGTCTTATGGCATCTACAAAGGAACTTATCTTGTTGGAAATTATGCTCCATATTTCTCACGCATCAACCTCTTGACAAATGAGCTAGTTCCAACTGCTAATCTGTACTAATTATTATTATTTCATCTTACATGGGTATATGATTAGAACAGATTATGGCTGGCTCGTAAATACTGATTTGGCTCTCTCTTTTTTTTATCTCCATGGATTAGTATTTATTGAGTTAGTAATCCAGAGAAGGGAAGGGAAAGAACCCTATAATTATGAGCTCCTCAGTGTAAAATTCCTTCTGGCACAAAGAAACGTTGCATTGTAAATATAGCTTTTTCCTTTGTGCCCTATTGGGATCCATGCAAAAAATGCTTTGTGGAAATCAAAATAAGCTTTAGAAGTAAGCAAATGTTTGGAATTCTGATCTTGTGTTCAATATGAGATATCTGAAGTTTTGAATTTCTTTTTCTAATCATAAAGCCCCCCCCCCATATGTGACTTTTTTGGCCTGGAATGGAATTGACCAACTGAAATAGCTATTCTCCCTACCCCAAGAATGGCATCAGGATAGAAAGCAGGAGACTGTGAATTCTAGTTAGCAATAGCAATAGCAATAGCAGTTAGACTTATATACCGCTTCATAGGGCTTTCAGCCCTCTCTAAGCGGTTTACAGAGTCAGCATATCGCCCCCAACAGTCTGGGTCCTCATTTCACCCAGATGATAGATAGATAGATAGATAGATAGATAGATAGATAGATAGATAGATAGATAGATAGATAGATAGA